ATTCTTGTGTTCATCCTTCGGGATAGATACAGGGTTTGAGGTAAAACGCTCTTTCATTTAAACTATGAAAATTATGGGGTCAGTTTGACTTCATCTTTTTCAAAACTAAAATTTAAAAAAAAAACGTCCTTCCGAAGCGGGCAACGGGATTTCAATTCCGATGACCGACAGCTTCCTACGGGCAAACCCCACACCAAAAATAGTGCCGACAATGCAGTTGCATTGGGTTAATTAAATTAGGTCAGATTGCTCTAGTATTTCTGTTGAATTGAGTTAGCCTGATTTGGGTTAGGTTGACCCGAGGATTAATTGGAGTTGAGTTAACCTATGTTAGGTCGGGTTGACCCAATGAATAAGTTGATTTAGGTTAACCAGAATTAGTTCAGGTTGACCTGAAGATTTAGTTGAGTTAGGTTCAATTTTGATTGAACCTTAGGTTTGATTTGGGTTGAACCTTAAGATTTAGATTTACTTAGGTTCAATTTGAGTTGAACATATGGTTTGGGATAACTTAGGTTCAATTTAGGTTGAACCTTAAGTTCAGGTTGACTTAAGTTCAATTTGAGTTGAGCCAAAGGTTTGTGTTAACTTAAGCTCAATTTGGGCTGAAACTAAGAATTAATTTGACTTAGGTTCCATGTTGGTTGAACCTAAGGTTTTGGGTAGAGTTAGGTTCAATTTGGATTGAACCTAAGGTTAGGTTGACTTATGTCCAATTTAGGTTGAACCTAAGAAATTACATACAGGAAAAAACTAATATTCCATCATAGATTTTGAATATATAAAAATATATGAAAAACTAGTTGAACTTTAATAAAGGCTGAAATTCATCACAACTCAAAAAATCAAACTCAGCAACCAATAAAGATCAAGGAAGAAATGTAAACTTATCAACATTAAATTAACCATCATAAACAACTGCTAGCTCAAACAATAAACCAAATCAAAGCAAAAGCACCAAAATTCACTCTGGAAAACTCAATCAAATACGATGAAAGTATATCAAAGGCTAGTCAATCCTGGCAAACAACACTTTAGCCAAAATATCCACAGAATACACATTACCGAAAGTAAATAACAGCTCACCTGAGCTAAAATTACTTTCACCAAAGCTCAAAACTTACCTGAAGAAAAAATTTTTAAAATTTCATCCTAAATTTTGAATATATAATAATTTATTTAGAAAAACAGTTGAATTTCAATAATGGCTAGAAATCTTCATTTCTCAAAACCCAACTCAGTATAAGATCAAAGTAGTAACAAATCCAATTCAAAACCACATTGTTAATTTAGTTTGCTCCGAGCTATAAAGAATTTCCAAAGAACAGAAAAAGAAAAGCAATAACCTACATCACTATTTCATTTTCATGATCAAAATAAATCTACCATCAAACTATTCATGCTTATTTCTTAAGAGGATTCTTTGTAGGCACATTTCGCTGCTTAAAGTTAGCAAAATATGCTTTGAATTTATAATAACAAAATGATTTTATTTTCCTGCTGCATTTTATTATTGTGAGGATGTCTAAGAAATTATTTAAAACCTTCTCCTACAGGTAATGAAGATGATGTTTATATGTTGTTGTTGATGATAGCTGAAAAGTACTCTTTGAGGCTTTCCATAAAGAATTTCTCAAAGCAAATCAAGGGACTATCAACACACAAAATAAGTTCATAGGAATTTTGTACTGTTGTGTTTTCATACTTCTTGTTATATGACTTTCGTGTGTGGAAAAAATTAACTCTACCAAAACAAAAGAAAAAAAAAAAGACTATTTGGATACATACCACTCAATTCCTATGTATTTACAGATATAACACCTAAATTTCATTTTTTTCATGTATGCCACCTTACCAATGAGCTTTATGTATGTCACCTTGCTTTTCAATGTTCTTTGTAAGCTACGTTCACTAGCATCGGAGCTGCTAGTCGTGAATCAGGAGCGTCAATGGGAGAGGAGTGCCGCCGAGTGGTGGACTGTCACCGAGAAAGGAGGAAGAGTGTCGCAGGAGGGGGAAGGATTTAGGGCTAAATTGGGAAGAGCAAAGTGTGTGGAGGATAGGAAAAATGGAGATTTTGGCGGTATAATGGATACGTTCCAACGACTTAGACAAGATAGATATTTGTCGGTTTTAATTTTGATAATAACCGACGGTTAACAATGTCGACAAGTATAAATAGACTGTAGGAGTTTTTTTTCTTAAAAAGAAGTGGATTAGGGAGTAGTAGTACCATCAGAAAAATTTAAAGATTAAGTATCTGTGGCCAAGTTATGAGAAATTAAACGGATAATTGCTAAGTAAATTGTGATGGCTTGATAGGCTTAATTATGTTGGTCAGCTATTCCAGTCTGGTTATCAACTATCGATACATGAGTGAGGAGCTCATGTTGATGGAATCAGATTATGTTATCGGGCAGAAGATGAATCATCATAATTCGACAGCTAGCTCACTCCTTGATGAGGTGATCCTTTGTGATGCTTCGTGATGTTATGGCCAGTTCTTGACCCCCATGAGAAATCTTGAGGACGCTCGTGAGATGGCTTGCGATACTGAACTTTCCCTTGAGTCAACCTGTGATGAGAGGTAGGTCAATATCTCTGCTCAGCTTGGTTAACCTAAGCCTTTGGTTTGAATGACCTACATATAGTCGGCCTCTAGCTCCGATTTAAGAGGGCTTAAATGGATTCCTTGGTCCTCATTTTATCTCCTCATTTGTTAAATCTCCTAGATTTATGCCGACTAATTTTTGGCATACATATTATAAATATAAATACCAAACTTTGATGTGTTATATATATACACCATAATTCTAATGAAAATCTCCAAAAAAAAACAATATACTGTTTGAAGAATCAAATAACTCCAACTTATCATTAAATAAAGCCAAGACAAATAAATTCCAGAGCATCCCTGCTCTTTTTCCCACTCCCTTCCAAAGAAAACTCCAGCCTTCCTCCACCAACCCAAATATTCCTTCCTCAGCCCTTCTCCCATGGCTCCTCAACTCCACACTTCCCAAATCCATCCTCTCACAACCCTAAACCGCCTCCACTTCCTCCTCTACTCCATATCCATCCTCCTCCTCCTCTACCACCACACCGCCACCCCTTCCTCCTTCCTCCTCCTCTTCGCCAATGCTTTCCTTGCCGTCATGTGGCTCCTATCTCAGGGCTTGCGATGGCGCACTCTTTGCCGCCGGGAATTTCCCGACCGCGTTCCACAAGTCATTTCCGGCAAGGGTTATCCGGCTTTAGACGTATTCGTCTGCACGGCTGACCCATATAAGGAGCCGCCGGTGAGGTCGGCGAGCACCGCTCTCTCGGCGTTAGCGTTCGACTACCCTTCCGACCGCCTATCCGTCTATGTTTCCGATGATGGCGGCTCAGAGCTCGTACTCTTTGCCTTCTTGGAAGCTGCTAGGTTTGCTAGGCATTGGCTGCCGTTTTGCAGAGGGAATGGAATTATGGAGAGGAGCCCTGAAGCTTACTTCCAGTCCGGTAACGGCCATGGAGGTGCAGAAGAGATGAAGGTACGGCAAGCATCTTCATAAAAGTTGCTAAATTTAGTTTTCTCTCGATTATTCATTTTCTCTCGATTATTTTTAAAATTAAATTTTCCTACATAAATTATGTTAAATATGTAAATATATAAAAATAATATTTGGCATGCATGTAAAGCTTTTTTTTATTATAATAGAGAGTTTTATTAGAAATTCAGAATATGCGTCCTACTCTAAACATTTTGGTTCTGTTCGAGGCAGCATATTTGGTGCAGTAACGTTTTGATAATGCACCTGCGTTTTGACAGTTTATGAGTTTTCAAAATTACAAAGACACAACATTTTCACACCGCACTTATCTATGTGTGGTGACAACTTTCTGGCAACGGTCTGACTTTTTCAAAAAAATAAAAATTTGTAATAGTCACCGCAACTAACTTATGAACAGATTAGTTTTAATCAGTTTATATTATTCAATAAGCTACAGCTGCTCCCAATAGATCCTTAATCAGATTCATCATTAGATCAATAAATCTAGAGGGATTTATATTGATATCATTGAACTTTTTGTTATTTATGTCAAAATTTTGATATTTAAATCGCATGAAAATGTCATTATAATTAATTTACATGATATGCATATAAATTCTCCTGTGAAGTTTTTTCTTATTATTTATTTAATTCGAACACTTTGTTTGGATCGTGTCAAAAGATGACTCAGTACAAAGCAGTGGGGCCAACATGAGATTTTAAACCAATCGCTGCTACTGCCATCTAAAATATAGTATTTATTTAGACTATATTTAAAAATAAAAATTAAATAATTAGGTTCAAAGAAAAAGGCTCTAACCAATCATATTAAATGTTCGGCCAATAATTCGGCTGTGCTTGTCTGTTTTGATTTAGTTCTAGTAAACTAAGATCCATTGCGTTCTATTTAGTGTCATGTTTTCATTTAGTTCTAGTAAATTAAGATCATTTTATATATAATAAGCTCAAGTCTTCCTAGGTCTACCTCTACCTTTCTTAACACAAGTCGAATCTAAGACATCTACTCTCCTAATCGGATCATCAGATGGTCGACGTTTAATGTGACCAAATCATCTAAGACGACTTTCTCTAATTTTGTCCGTCACAGGAGCTACACCAACTCTATCACGAATATATAATACATTTATTTAACAAAAATAAGAAATGTAAAGGGTATTTTAATCTGATATTCCCATTAATCGACAACATACAGTTATTGATCAAAACCCAAAAGCGACTGAAGTGACTGTACATGACTACTTGCATGGAGATTGACTTAGACCTTCATTTATAAAAAAATAGGGCTTCTTTTCGGTTTTATGAATATAAATCTCAGCCGCTTACAACCGTAGATGTCAGCTATCATATATTTAGGATTGATTAAACTTATTTTCAAATAATTACTATTTTTGCATGCCTTAAGGTTTGCGGAGGTAGAGTATTACTGTTAATACAGAAGTAGCAGGAGGAGACATCAATATTTTTATGTGAAAAAATCTTATATATTTAATTAAACAATGGGACCTAATCCAATTAAAGTAATATATTATGTATTTATAAGTGGATAGGGTCACTGTTCTCATGAATTAAAGAACTTGGAATTGCAATGTTGATATTACAAATATACAGTAATATATCATCTATAATCGTCACAATTGAGCTACAATATATGTGGTTCTCAGATATAATAGTAATAGTTGGTCACAAAGATAGTAATTAAAAATTATAGTAGTAGTTATTGGCCTCAAAAGCAGTCGTTCGTGACTGCAATATCATTAGTTTGTCACATAGGCCATAATTAGTTGCAGTAATAGCGTCAGTTGGAAACAAAGTTTATGGTTGGAAACTGTAATATTGGTAGTTGGTCAAATAGATTTTAGTTGGTTACTGCAATATTGTAAGTGATGTTGTAGCAGGCAGCATGGTCGTGGGCATAGGATAGTGGGCATCGCTGCAGTAGGCGGTTAGGCGGGCCAGATCAACACACATGGCCAACAAGTGGACTTGTTCAACCAAGCAAGCTTGCGATGAACGCGGATAGATAGGTAGACCGGATCAATGGGTCAAATAGTTCACAAAACCATTCACAAGTGGTCAGCGTGTGCCCCACATCTATGCACTCATGCGCACAAATTTTAAAGAAAAAATTTTCAATTTTCAATTTTTGGGGCAAAAATTTTATTTTTTTTTCTATAAATAAGGCCATTTGGAGAGGAAGAAGGAACACCTCATCCACAACTTAGAGTCTCTTTCAGGTTATTTCTTTCTCCCTTTTTAGGCTACTATTTCCCCAACGTTTAGGTTGTTATTGCCCCACCTTCTAGTTTTTTTTCTTCTGCCTTCTAAGATGTTGTTTCCTTGCCTTTTCGACTATTATTGCCTCCTCTGAAGTAATTCATTGATGTCATTTCTGAAGTGGGTTATTATTACCTCTTATGCATAGGTTGTTGTTGCTTCCCATGATGTAGACAGTTATTGTCTTTTCTAATGTAGGATGTTGTTGCGTCCACCAAAATAGGTTATTGATTCCTTTTGCGAACTAGGTTGTTGTTGCCTCTTATAACATATGTTATTGTTGCTTTTTTTAAAGTAGGATGTTATTGCCTACCTCAAAGAAGATTTTTACTGTCTACTCTAATTCAGGTAATCGTGCATACCCAAATTTATACCTTTATCACATGTTAATATTCAAGCAGTTGTTGTCTTCTCCCATCAGATGGTGGTTGCCTTCTACCTTCAAGATGTGAACCGAAAACGGTAATAATTTGGTGATGGCATTCCAACATCTACAACAATCCTATGATAACTGTCTGACATTGGTGACCTAGTAATACGACTTTACTATAGTGGTGTCTCCATAATAGGGTTCCAACTATAATAATTGTGGTCTAATAGCGTTGGCTGAGCAATGGTGATAGTGGTCGAGCAATGGTGATCTATTGATAGGAGCCGCATTGATCAGGTGACAGTAGTTTGCTATGGTGATAACCTAATAAAAGTGGTCTGACACGATGACATTGGCAACCAAGAGATGATCTAGTGATAGTGACACTCTACCACAAGAATAAGGGTTGTCGGGTGTCAATGATCTGACATAGTGATAGTCGAGAGATAATGATCAATCAAAGATGACAATGTACTACATAATGGTGGTTACAGGGCCTGATGGTCTAGTATAAAAACAACCAAGAGATGATTTACAGTGTTTGGTAATGGAGGCAATGACCCATCATCATCTAACATATTAGATTTGAATCTTTAATAATATTGATAGTGTTAATCATTGGCATTAACACAGATCTAGTTAGGTGATTGCATTAGATTGAGACCATTATTATATAAGAAACCATGAGTGATCAACTAAGGATGTTAGACTAATTTGAGGTTATATGTATATAAGAAGTCATGAATGATCCACCAAGAACATTAAACAGATTTGAGGTCATTTATATATAAGAAACCAAGAGTGATCCACCAAAAAAGTTGGACCAATTTAAGAGTCATTTATATACAACAAGTCAAGAGTAATCCACTAAGGATAATTGACCTACTAAGATTATTTTTATATAAGAAGGCATGAATAATCCATCAAGGATGTTTGATCAATTTAAGGTCATTTGTATGAATAATCTACTAAGAATTTTTTATCGATTTGAGATCATTTATATATAAGAAATCATAAATAATCCATTAATGATATTTGACGAATCTGAGGTTGTTTATAAATGAGAATGTATGAATAATCCACTAAGGATGCTCAATAAATTTGAGGTCATTTGAATGAATAATCCACCAAGGATGATTGAAAGATTTGAGGTCGATTGTAGAAACAATCCACCAAGGATATGTGATCAATTTGATGTCTTTTGTATGAATAATATATCAATAATGTTTCCTAAATTTGAGATTACTTTTATAGAAAAAGACATGAATGATCCACCAAGAATGTTAGATCAATTTGAGATCATTTATAAATATGAATGCATGAATGATCTAGTAAGAATGTTTGACCAATTTGAGATCATTTGTATGAATAATCAGTCATGGATATTTGGTCGATTTAAAGTTATTTCTATATAAGAAGTCATGATTGATCCACTAAGTATGTTCGATCATACTAAGGTTATTTGTAAATAAGAAGACATCAAAAAATCACAAAGATGTTAGACCTATCTTAGGTTATTTTGCTAAAAAATCTTTGATGATGTTAATCTGTTATGAACAAGGTTGAACTAAAATCCCCCAAAGCTGTTAGACCCATTTTATGTTGTTGGTTGAAGAGTGTACTTAACAACTGTAACCAATATTGGAAGATATTGGATGACATCCAACAATGATTTTTGACCTATTCGAGAATATTTAGTTGGAGCATAGCAATTACTCGATAATCATAACCTATTATGGAATAGGTCAATTGTAATCAACTAATAATTTTTCACTTTCCTTAAGTTGTTTAGTTGGAGCATAAAAATTGCTTAGTGACCATAGTATGTTATGGAAGAGATCGAATTGAGTCCCTTTGGGACTTACTAAGCGTAGAATGAGGCACCAGAAATATTTTTTAATTTTACAGTATGGGGTGTAGGTCACTATGGATTGTACATTTTCATAAAAAAATATAGTAAGAACTATTGTTAAAGTGAGTCGAGCAGATTAGTTAGTCGACTCTAGCTCGGCTTGATAAGTGGCTCGTGAACTGTGCTTGATAAGCTAACAATCCAAGCTCAAGACAGCCTCGACTCAACTTGTTAGCTAGTGAGCTGGCTTGTAAAAATATATTAATATAAAATATACTTAAAATATATTAAGTTTGAAGACTTTATCATTAAAGTAATAAAAAAAACAAAAAAATGTAATTTTGTATTTTATATTAAGTGATTTCTTATTATTTCTCTCCTAATTGTTCATTTTTTTGTCATTTTATTATAACACTTTCTTAAATTAACATTATTTTTTTCTTTTATATATAAAAAAAACTATCTCGTGAGTTGGAGTGAACT